CATATAAAGTGCTTAAATTTTTTAAGGAAAATTTTGTGCTTAAGTAGCAAATGCAGGGAAAATAGATGTGGTAAGTTTGCAAACCAATGATTCAGAGTTAGCCTTTTTAAAAGTTTTTAAAATTACTTTCAAGAAAGAGTTAATTGGGGGAAAAACAAAACCATGTACCAGGCCAGCTAAAAGAAGTACGAATTAAAAAAAAAAAAAGATTCCAGAACCATGGAGAATATTCTGGATTAACTTGAACTTAGTGATGAATGCCTCGCATCTCTTCTACAGGTCATACATACTAATTTTTTCAGTATCACCAATTTAATTTTTGCAATGCATTCTTCCCCATTTCAGTGGAGAATGTCATAATATAGGAAGCTGCAACTATGACTTCATTAATTGGAAAATATAACCCAATTTTCCAGGATTCAAGAGTTGAAGAACTTTAGTCTTTGAATTCAGGAATACACACACACACACACACACACACACACACACACACACACACACATATATAAAGTTAAATATATGTTTATTATTTAAATCTATATTTAGATAATTATGCTTAAACATACACAGACAGAATTTCAGTTGAATTTACACATATACATTTAGGTAATTATTCTTGTTTCTACATTTTAATTCTTTTTTTCCAAAACATCAAATATAAAAATTTCCAATTGAAATGATTTTATTTTCTTAGTGAAAATCAATTGCAACACAGATTCAGAATATGTATTTATTGGTGATTTTATCTTTGGCAATAACATACTACAAAATATCATTCAGTTCTTTTTCCAGGACCTTTTATTTTCCAGTTATATTATTATTTCCATCTCTACATATTCTGTCAGATTATCAAAAGAAAATCCTTCATTTTTCCTTTCTCTGAAGCATGGAGATTGAACTGTACCTTTTTAAAATCTTTTCAGTTAAACATGAGGTAGAAATATAAATAACAAGAGCAAGAAGACTAGTTTCTAGTATATGTGCGTGTTAGTGCCTCAGTCATGTCCAACTTGTAATCCCACAGTCACGACCCCACAGACTGTAGCCCACCAGGCTCCTCTGTCCAAGGGATTCTCCAGGCAAGAATACTGGAGTGGGTACCCATTCCCTTCTCCAGGGGATCCTCCCGAAACAGGGATTAAATCTGGGTCTCCTGCATTGCAGGCAGATGCTTTACCATCTGAGCCATCAGGGAAGCTCCATTTCAAGTATAAACATCTGGAAAGTAAGTAGTTGAATAGCCATTTTACTTTGCCTGTAGAAAGACCCTCACAAAAGAGGCGAGATGCCCATACTATTCTAGAATAATTGACTGCAATTAAGAGGTGTAGCATATAACTGCTTCTGAATACATTTCACTGGTTTCAAACTGGCTTATTGTTCAACAAGACAGAATTCTCACATTCTTGATCATCATTTTCTGCCCATTTTTAGTATATTGATATACATTTATTGTCAGAAAAGCATGAAAGAGCGAAAGGAGTTGCACTTTGATGACAGTCAGACCTGAGTTCACATGTTTACTTCTCCATTTTTTCTGGGTTAATGGGCAGAGGTTGGTTACTTCCTTTCACAAGGTTTCATTACCTAAAAGGAGCTCTCACTGGGCTGTTTGGGAAGATTTAGTGAAATGCCTGTCAGTGGTTTCTGATTCTTGCTGCTGCTGCTGCTGCTGCTAAGTCGCATCAGTCGTGTCCGACTCTGTGCGACCCCATAGACGGCAGCCCACCAGGCTCCTCTGTCCCTGGGATTCTCCAGGCAAGAACACTGGAGTGGGCTGCCAGTTCCTTCTCCAATGCATGCATGCATGCTAAGTTGCTTCAGTTGTATCCAACTCTGTGCGACCCTATGGACAGCAGCCCACCAGACTCCTCTGTCCACAAGATTCTCTAGGTAAGAATACTGCAGTGGGTTGCCATTTCCTTCTGCCTCTGATTCTTAGTAGTGGCTAATTAAATATGAATTTAAGTTTCCTTTTGATGCTTCAAAGTAAACAATTACCATATGAAAATATTTACCCTCTTTTCCTAACTTCCATTGCTGCTGTGGGTGTCCAATTGCTATTGGTATTGAACTCATTGAGTTATGATGGGAGAAATGATGCTAAAGTTGCCATTGCAGGGGTCATTAGTGTTTAAAAAAACTAAGCTTGATGGGAGAATGTACTTTTAGGCAAGAAGGTCCTGCATGTAATGTACAAGTAATTTGGATGAATGGAGTCATTTTTAAAAAGAGTTGGTCTTAGATTATAGGTGTTCTCAAATAAAGATATTCAAGGGACAACATCTCTACATGAGTAATGAAAAGAATACAATAAGAAGAAAATTGATATTTTATATTCCAATGGTATTTTTCACAGAAAGAGAAAAAGCAGTCCTAAAATTTGTATGGAACCACATAAGGCCCCAAAGAGCCAAAGCAGTCTTGAGAAACAATAAATTTAGAGACTTTATGGGACCTGATTTCAAACTATCACAAAGCTATCATAATCAAAATAGTGTGGTATTGCACTCAGAGAGTGGCTGCAGGAGCAGGAGCAGAGTGGAGCAGTTGCAGCAGCAGCAGCTGAGCTAAAGACCCAGCATGTCTGGTCAGCTGGATCTGGATCCAGTGGGGCAGTGAGCAAGGCTTGGCATCTCGAGCAGGCAGGTCCATGTGCCCATGGAGTTGCTGATGAAGGGGGCATCTCCCCAGGCCCACAGGGGTGGGTGTCAGCCTCAGGGCTTCCTGAGTGAAACTTTAGGTAAGTATGCCAAGGGAGGAGGATGTTGGTCAATGGGTGCTACCTCCTCAAGGAGGGAGAGGAGGACCCCGACCAGGATGCATTCTATGAGAAGTACTGCCTACCATTATTTTTTAGAAGACAGTATGATATTGGCATGAAAACAGACAGATCAACAGAACAGAATAGAGAGCCCAGAAATAAACCTACAGTTAATGTGGTCAACTGATTTACAACAAAGGCGCTAAGCATATACAATGGGGAAAAGAGTTTCCTCAATAAATGGTGTTAGAAAAACTGGAGAGCCAAATGAAAACAAAAAAAAGAAAAAAAAAATGAGACTGGACCACGATCTTCCAGCACACACAAAAACTCAGAGTGACTAAGACTTGAACATAAGACCTGGAAGCATAAAGCTCCTAAAAGAAAACAGAGGTGGTAAGCTCCTTGAACTAAATATTGGCCATGATTTTTTTAATCTAATTCAAAAGCAAAAGCAACAAAATCAAATACTAATACAAGCAAGTGGGACTATATAAACTAAAAAGCTTCTTCACAGCAATGGAAACTATCAACAGAATGAAAAGACAATCTACTAAATGGGAGAAAATAATTGCAAATCATATATTTGATAATGGGCTAATATCAAAACATATAAAGAACTCATGAAATGATCTGATATAAAAACAGAAGATCTGAATAGACATTTCTCCAGAGGAGACATAGAGATTGGTTGGTAGGTACATGCAGAGATGCTCAATATCCCTGATCAACAGGGAAATGCTAATCAAAACAACAATGAGATATCACCTCATTCCTGTTAGAGTGGCTATCATCAAAAAGATAAGAAATAACAAGTGTTAGTATGGATGTGGAGAAAAGGAACACTTCTGCACTGCTGATGGGAATATAAATTGGTACCACCACTATGAAAAGCAGTATGGAGGTTCCTCAGAAATTAAAAATAGAACTACCATATCCAGTAATTCCACTTCTGGGTATTTATCCAAGGAAAATGAAAACACTACTTTGAAAAGATATATGCACCCCCATGTTCTTTGAAGCATTGTTTACAATAGACAAGTTATGCAATCAACCTGGATTCCATTGATCAAGTCTCCATCAAGGAACGAGTGGATAAAGAAATTGTGGTCTGTATATATACAATGGAATATTATTCATGTGAACACATGAATGGACCTGGAGGGCATTATGCTAAATGAAATAAATAGGACAGAGAAAGGCAAATGCCCATGATCTTACTTTCATGTGAAATCTAAGAAAAAAATAAATAGATGGGAAGCTAAATTCATAAATATAGAGAACAGATTGGTGGTTTAGAAGAAGAAGCAGGAGGTGGGAAATGGTGGAAGAAATGGGTGAATTCAGGTTTTTTTTGGTTTTTTTCCAGTTTAAATAAATGGAATTTAAAAAAATTGAAGACTACAATAAGAAAATTATATCTCATTCACTTACTTTTATAACATCAAAATACACTGTAGTAAATTCCTCTGACAGCTAGAGAATCAAACCAGTGTGCAGTCAATAATAAGGAGCAGACACAACGCCGTCTGCGAAGTTGCTACTGTGGACGGCGGCGCCCGATCTCCAGCAGAGCGGCTTTGCTGTGTGTGACAGACTACTCCTAAATGCTTAGATGGGGAGATAACTCCTGATGCATGTGATCGCACATGCCTGTGTATCCCTGATTTGCCAAGGGCGGTTGAGGAGGCATCGCTTCTTTGCATGGAGTTCGTGCACAATCTATGTTTGTGCCCAGGGGCAAGACAGGTTAATAAGGCCAGGAAGGAGGGGAGGACGTGGGAGTGGGTAATAACTGGGGAGGACTTCAGAGCATCCACCTGGGGGGAAGGGAGGAGGGCTGAGGATGGAGGGTGTTGCCTGTTGCTTCTGCCGATGTGTCAAGAGGCAGGAGAAATTTTGAAAGCTGTGAGGAGGAGCCAGTGGCTGCGTTTGGGGGTGTTTTGTACCCCACCCTTCCCACTTGTAGGTAAACCTCTTTCCATTCCGAGGTAACTGAATTGAAGGACGAAGACTGACCCGGGAATAGGAGGAAAGCAATTGTCCCGCTGCTCCCTCTCCTGTCATTTCACCCATTTGCCTCCTGACTTTTCTCCAAACCAAGTTCATCCGCGCCAAGGTGGCAACAGGTTCCCCTGCCCCTGTGCCAGCCGTGGGGAATCTGCCGAAGCCGCCCCGTGTATCCCAAGCTGCCCTATTATCCAGTCACCATCCCTGAGCATCAGGACCACTTCTGATGGCTGTGGCCTCTGCCACCCCAGGGAGCATCTTCTGGAAGCAGCTCCCATTCTCTCTCCTGGTGAGTAACAAGCGAAGGATTAGGGAGTCCAAGCATGCTGCCTTCCTTCAGGTTGGGCTTGAAAGAGAGGAGGGCGGGAGCGCAAAGCAGAGAAGGGAGACTGGAAGAACAGGAGCAGAGCTGAGTAAAATTCAAGGAAGCCCAGAGAGACTTGTGACCCAGGACGGCTGGTGTTTGGTTTGCTTTTCAAGTTTCCACCACCAAGCTGTTCATTTTTCAAGGGAATCCCCTGTTCAATCTTGCTGGGGTGTTTTTCTAAGGAGCAATGGGATGAATTCACTCCTCAGGCATTTGGCCCAGAAGGTTCTGAGGTTTGCTTTTGCTACTAGTCACTAAATAAGCTGTACTGTTTCACCTGCTTAGCTCCCCTGAGCTTTGAGAAGAGGAAAAGGAGTCTGGTTGAAGATGTGAAATATCTAGGACTCGCTTCATTTTAGCCAGAAAGGGCTGAGAGAAGGGTGGAGCTCTTAGTTCAAGGAAGGTGTTTAACTGGGAAAAAAATAATAATAAAGAAAAATGTGAAATTCACTGATAAAATACATGAACTTGACTTCCACTTATGTTTTTTGTAACTGTGTATTTAGGTGCTAAATTTTTCTTTGGTGGCGGTTAGGAAGAGGGGAGTTGTTCCATATCTATATCTGACATTTCTGAGCACTGAATTTCTTTCTTGTTTTCATTTTAATAAAATATTTTAGCTTCAAATTATATTTTCAGTATTTAAAAATTTTATTGTATAAGGGTGAATATTTTCCCTGTATAAATAGTACACCAGGGGACTTCCCTGGTGGCCCAGTGGCTAAGGCTGGATGCTCCCAATGCAGGGCCCAGGTTCAAGTCCTGTATCAGGGAACTAGATCCCACATGCCAGAGCTAAGAGTTCTCATGCCTCAACTAAGATCCCGTGACTAAGATCCAGAGCAGCCAAATAAATAAATTAAAAAAAAATACACTAAGTGGGGTTAATGGTCATATACTCAACCTATAATTGTCTGGGGATAGTGTGGGGGGAGAACAGAGATCTTTATTTAGTATTATTAGTTAGGTAAAATGAGGGGAAAGCTTTCCAAGATATTTACCCAGATTTCTTTAACTTTTGGTCTCCGCTGTGCCCAGTACCCTTTGGTTCATCCACTGCCCATTCATTCCTTATGCCCATGATGCCTAAAAATGCCTCTAACCACAGCTTCCTTCAAATAACTAAGCTGCTTGTTTAACTTGAAGACTGGGATATAGCGTGTCTTAGAGACCTGCACTGGCTCTGTCTTTGAGGCAGAACTAGTGAAGTGGGGACCCTAGGGCAGGAAGGAAAAATGATGGAGGTATGAGAAGATATGTAGATGTATCCTCTGAGAATAATGTGTGACTATATAATATAGATGTATAGATCTATGAATCTATGTATGTATATGTGTGTATATACACATATCTATTTCTAATTACAAATGCTCTTCCATGTTATATACTTAGACCATTATTAATATAATTTTTTTATATACAGAAAGCTCTTTAGGTATATTTTTGTATATTCCTGACACTAGAAATGAAAATATTACAAAGTCAAGTAAGTAGTAAAAAGACCCATTTTTTAAAAAGAGATTATTTAATTTAAAGCCAGAATACAAGTACAACTTTTTAAATTCCAGTTTTTGGTGTTATCTAACAGAGCTACTGTAAAATTACAGACTATTTAAATGGACTTACATGATATATCCAATAGACTTGGGTTGAGTTAGGAAAGAAATGTACATCCATAGTATAGCTGATGGTTTTCTTTCTTTCTCTCAAATAATGGGTCCCCTAACTCTAGAAGGCCTTCCCTTGTGACTCAACTGGCAAAGAATCTGTATGCAATGCGGGAGATGTGGGTTTGATCCCTGGATTGGGAATATCCCCTGGAGAAGGGAAAGGCTACACTCCAGTATTCTGGCCTGGAGAATTCCATGGACTGTACAGTCCATGTGGTCGTAAACAGTTGGACACAACTGAGCAACTTTCACTTAACTCTAGAAATATGTCCTCAGAGAAATATTGGTTATAAAATTCACCTTCCTGTTAAAGCTCTATTTTATATTTAAGCAATAGCAAAACAGTCATTTTGAAAAACAGTAGAGGAAGCAAATAAACAGAAAATGCCAAGAAAAATAGGTTCTGAACTTACTACACTTTTAAACTGATAGCGCTTCTTTTATTTTTTAGATAGTCTTGGTTTTTTCTTGAGTTAGGTATATCGCTTTGTAAAGCAATATTTGTGTCTTGAATTGAACTAAAAATCTTTACCCTGTTGAAGTCTACTCTCCATATTTGAAATATATTTCTTTTTAGGCTAATTTTGTGAATGAGATCTTTTAGGCTTTGAAGTTTATGAGCCAAGCCTTTCTGAGGAGTAATTTGAGATCAGGGAATACTGGTGGGTGTTGATCTTGAGGAAGTTAAAAACATCCTCAAGTATTTTTTGACTTAATCAACTATACTTCAGTTTGCTTGGGGCTGTGAAAATGAAGATTTGTATGCAAATACACAATTACTGAATTCCAAAGTTAAGTACTTTCTTCATGCTGAGAAATCAGAATGACATTTACAAATGACCTTAGAGATGATAAACTCTACATAAAGTCAATAGTTTGTAACATATTTTCTTGAAATGATGCAATACAATTCAGGTTCTAAGAACTCTGTTCATTTTAATTTTTTCATTGCTACTAAATGACTGTTGTGTTCCTAAAGCTACTTTCTTTGCTGTTTCCTTTTAAAATGAATATGAAAAATATTGAAAGATTAGAAGATCAATTTGTTATTGAAATTCACAATATTTTTATCAATAAGACAAAACTGTAATGTGAAAGCTTCTGATCAAATGTAACTCTTGATTTTTTTCTTTCTTTTGAGGTTTTAATATTATTTTGCGATGCTTGTCAGAAAATTTCCCTTCAAGTTCCTTCTCATCTTCGGGCTGAAGCACTTGTAGGCAAAGGTGAGAAAGGATGTTAAGAATTTCATAGTTTTAGCTGCTACATTTAGCTTTCGGCTGTTCAAGCCATACCGTAGTCATTTGGTATTAAAATTCGACTTGAAATGAAAGATAAACAACTTGATTTTTGCTTGTGGTTAGAAACAATTAAAGAACCAAGTTAGTTGTGTACTTTTCTTGCCAGGAAAATTAGCAAACATCAAAAGGCTAAATTATCTTAGTTTAGTACAACAAAGCACCAAAATGAAAAACATATTTTAATTTTCTATGACTGATCTGCTGCCAAAATCACCAAACCAACATTCTTTAATTGATTAGATAGAAAATAGACATGTCAAAATTGAAATGCCCCAAAATAAAATTTATGCTGGAGGTTGATGACAAAGACCAGGTGCCCAGCAAGAATTTATGTGATCTATTTTACAGAAAAGCTTCTGAAAGTCAAATAAAATTTTAAGTAGTCTTACTGTCACAGCCAGTCTTCCCTGGTGGCTCAGAGGTAAAGAATCTGCCTGCCAATGCAGGAGACGCAAGAGAACGTGGGTTCAGTCCCTGGATTGGGACGATCTCCTGGAGAAGGAAATGACAACCCGTTCCAGCATTGTCGCCTGGGAAATCCCATGGACAGAGGAGCCTGGTGGGCTACAATCCATGGGGTTGCAAAGAGTTGGACACGACTGAGTGACTGAGGATGCATACACACACTGTCACAGCTACACCTGAGGCATGAGTTGTTCTAAGTCCAGGAATAATATCCCTTTCATCAGTATTCTTCACTAACCTTAAGTTTACCACTAGAAAAACACATCTCATATACAGAAGTGGTATTCTTTCCAAGACAGACAATGTTTTGCCCAGTGTTTGGAGGTTTTAAATTAATCTCTTTTTCTTTCAAAAGTACTGAAAGGACTTTCAGTAGGACACGGCCTACACTCCAAAGACATATAGTAAATATGTTAAATATTGGGTTAGCCACACAGTTCATTGGGGTTTCTTCTGTAACATCCTATGGAAAAATCTGAATGAACTTTTTAGCCAATCCAATATATTAAATATGAATCTGCAAAGGAAATATTTTGATACAACCACTAAGCATTATTAAGCATGGAGTTTATTAAGCTTCCAAAAGATTTTATAGAAGTAGTACTTGCAATATTACTGAGAAATATTATTTAAGTATGGAACAATTTTCTAATTTTTTGCAAGACAGTTTTATTAATAATTATCACAGATGATTACAAAGAAGTTCAAAATCTGACATCATGCAGTTAGTTATACTACATGTAAGAAAGAATGATGCATTTGTGCATAATAATGAGTTAGAGTGGAAACAATAAATCCAGTGACATTAAAAATATTTTATATCTATTCATAAATTAATTGCTAATGAAATCAGTGGAGACAGTGATTCCATCAATTTAATTATTTAATTTTTATGGCCTATAAGTATTAGAATAGTAAGTATTCCACACACCCCTAGCAGAACCTCCCTCTTTTTGCTTCTTGCACACCAACTAGAGGTTGTCATTCCTGTAAAACCTGTTCTATCCTTGTTTCACTTTACAAATTACTGTGAAATTTCTTCCCTGCAGTGAATCTGAAGGAGTGTCTCCAGTCGGCCAGTCTAATCCAGTCAAGTGATCCTGACTTCAGGATTCTAGAAGATGGCTCCATTTACACAACACATGACCTTGTTTTGTCTTCTGAAAAGAAGAGTTTTTCCATTTTGCTCTTTGACAGTCAGGGACGGGGTCAGAAGGAGATAGAAATTGTACTGGAAGCAGGAGGAAAGAAGGTATATTAGACAAGACTTAAGCACAATAATCTGCTCACCAGAGCCCTTCATCTCATTTATTTTCATCCTTGCTAAAATTCTTGTTCTTGAATACTCACTTTTTTCTTTTCCATTTATAACAAACATATGTAAAGACTAGATTGCTTTAATGAGTAATAGAGTGATTTATAAGTGGTGTAAAAATGAACAGCTCTGTAGCCAGGGAACAAAGGCAGAATATCAAAGGTTTCAAATAATGTTCTGAGGTGTGGCAACAAGAGTGACCTACCTGCAGAACAAGGCGGGGCGGGTCTAAGATTCACTGCAGATTGATTCTGGCTGGAGAAGTGGTACTCCACCCTGAATGGCTTTCCCTCAAGTGACTGTGGGTTTGAGTCTCTCTTTAAAGAAAAGATGAGAAGGTCTCCAGTTATCCCCATCTTAACAGAACATTTTACAAGGTCCTTCTTTTCAGAGAATCCACAGGATTGGTTCCAGTGTTCTGACTCTAAGCTAGTCTTCTGGCAGGGAGTGGTGATGCTTAGGAAGTGAGAAGGGAGAAGGTTCCTGGAATTCATATAAATCTCACTTTAAACAAATTATGCACAATGAATTTGGTCTTACAAGATAATTTATTCATAAGCAATTTGATTTATAAGGAAAATTTTCAGCTCAATTCCTTTTGATTATAAGAATCTTCATCAAATTTAGAATATGCTTACATGTTACATATACTTTACATTTGTTTAAAATTTAGACTTAATGTTATATAATTACATAACATTACTGTAAGCCTTAATGTAACATAAGGCTTATACAATATTATTTTACATCCAAATTGTAAAGAGTCTCCACATGAAATAAAATATGCTGGAGCACACACTGTGTGTCTTTATATAGGTATACAAATGCTTTTAAGGTAGCTAATATTTCAGCAAATTTTGATTGTACCACTCTTAATGGAATAAAATCAATTCTTTATTAATGAGTTATTTCTTTTTAGTGACTCAGTATTTCTTCAGATAGTATCTTTCATCAAAACCCTAAAAGTTCTGGTTGGTTAGGTGATAAATGATAAAAACAGGAAATAGGTGAAACTGGTTCTTTGTGTGTGTGTTACTAACAAAAAAAAGAATTTGGGCACTATCCATAACATTGTTATGTGCAACTGTTACCTATTTTATTCATGTTACTGTTTATGTGAAAAATCATTGTATCTAGAATGATAAGCAATGCTGTATTTTTTCACTTCTCATCAAATGCAGATTCCTAGGAGACATATGAAAGACACAGTCCTCAGGCGAAGCAAGAGGCGATGGGCGCCTATTCCGTGCTCACTGATGGAGAACTCACTAGGTCCATTTCCACAGCATGTGCAGCAGGTCCATTTCCTCTCATTTGATGTTATATGTTAGCTTTGTTTCTTTGTTTTTGAAACTTTCCATTTGAATTGAATCAGGGTTTTAACCTGTTGGTACTAATAAGGACCATCTATTTATGAGAACTAGGGTCCTGTAGAAGAGAGCTTGAATTTTATCACTTTCCTCTAAAAGTCACATTTTAGCGTTAGAAGCAAGTGGTATATTTTGAGTTGCTTATTCTGTTAGGTCTGCACCCAGATTCTCCCAAATATCTTGCCAGAATTTATTATTCACATATAGAGGACATACCTACAGATTTTGCATAATTCAATTCTCCCTTTCATTAGCACTTACCCTCACAAAAAAAGGCCAATATATGTTTTCAAAAAAGTGGTATTACTGCCACTTAACTGAATGTAAGCATAGACCAATTATCAGTTCAGTTCAATTCAGTTGCTCAGTTTTGTCCAACTCTTTGCGACCCCATGGACTACAGCAAGCCAGGCTTCCCTGTCCATCACCAACTCCCAGAACTTGCTCAAATTCATGTCCATTGAGTCGGTGATGACATCCAACCATCTCATCCTCTGTCGTCCCCTTCTCCTCCTGCCTTCAATATTTCCCAGCATCAGGGTCTTTTCCAATGAGTCAGTTCTTTGCATCCAGCTGGTCAAAGTATTGGAGCTTCAGCTTCATCATCAGTCCCTTCCAATGAAGATTCAGGACTGATTTCCTTTAGAATTGACTGGTTTGATCTCCTTGCAGTCCAAGGAATTCTCAAGAGTCTTCTCCAATACCACAGTTCAAAGGCATCAGTTCTTCAGCACTCAGCTTTCTCTACAGACCAATTCTCACATCCGTACATGACTACTGGAAAAGTCATAGCTTTGACTAGATGGCAAAGTAATGTCCCTGCTTTTTAATATGCTGTCTAGGTTGGTCATAGCTTTTCTTCCAAGGAGCAAGTGTCTTTTCATTTCATGGCTGTAGTCACCATCTGCAGTGATTTGGAGCCCAAGAAAATCAAGTCTGTCATTAATTCCATTGTTTCCCCACCTATTTGCCATGAAGTGATAGGACCGGATGCCATGATCTTTGGTTGAAATTGTGCAATTCATGATGCATTAACTATGGGAGGAAAATTGTGTTATTTCCAGTTTTTTAGTCATAAAAGTTTCCATTCCAAATAATTAAAAACCACTGATATCATGGCTGTATACAGGAATAAGAATAAGTGAATAAGAATAGAAAAAGAATATTCAATGCCATGATTTTTCCATACAAATGCAGATAACTTCAAAGAGTTTAGTATCCAATAAGTGACAGAGTTTGTGGCTTCACACAATGCAGGATATAACTGAGAATTTAAAAATATGGGAGACACTGGGAAAGAAAGAATAGATATATGGGAAATAGAGCAAGAAATAAAAAATAAGGGCTTCCCTGGTGGCTCAGTGGTAAAGAATCTGCTTGCCAATGCAGGAGACCTGGGCTTAATCCCTGGGTTGGGAAGATCCCCTGGAGAAGGGAAGGGCTACCCACTCCAGTATTCTTGCCTGAGAAATTCCATGGACAGGGAAGCCTGTCTGGCTAGAGTCTATGGGGTCACAAGAGTCAGACTTGACTTAGTGACTAAACAACAACAATAAAAATAAACTATCACAAGAGATTAGGTTGAAAGTATTTACCATGATATATTTGCTCTTTTCCTAAACTGTCAATTATTGTTACAGGTTCAGTCTGATGCTGCACAAAACTACACCATCTTTTACTCCATAAGTGGACCAGGGGTAGACAAAGAGCCCTTCAATCTGTTCTTCATAGATAAAGATACAGGGGATATATTTTGTACAAGAAGCATAGACCGTGAGCAATATCAAGAGTTTCCGGTAAGATGATTGCATCATTAATTCAGATTTATGTTTTTTATTACTGGTTTAGTATTTTCAAGCTATTTATATATATCAGAAGAATCAATGATTTGTCTTAATATTTTAAAGATTGTTCATGTGTCATACAAACTTTAAATTTCTATTGGTACAATAGATGAAAAAGGATGATTATTACAAGGGAAAAAAGGGAAGGGGAAGGGAAAATATAATAACAACTTTAAAGGACAGGTTTTGATGTGTATAATCCTGGGACAATAGCAGTGAATTTTATTGAATTTAAAGTTCTCTATAATAACTTAGCTCTGATCACATGATAATTTTTTTAAAATACTGATGACTGGGCCAGTTCCCAGAAATTCTGATTTAATTGTTTCAGGATGAAAGTAAAAGTGTTAGCTGCTCAGTCTTGTCCGACTCTACAACACCATGGACTGTAGCCCACCGGGCTCTTCTGTCCATGGGATACTTCAGGCAGGAATACTAGAGTGGGTTTTCATTCTCTCCCCCAGGGGATCTTCCCAACCCAGGGATAGAATTGAGTCTCCTGGAATGTAGGTCGATTCTTTACCTTCTGAGTCACCAGTTGAAAATTTGTAGTCAATGATATAAAATTCAAATAATAGTCTTCTAACTCAGCTAAAAATATGACTAATTATAAAATACAATATTCTATTTATACTTAATATAGCGATATTTAAATATATTATTATTGCTTTCAATATAGAATAATGGGAAAGTGAAGTCGCTCAGTCGTGTCTGACTCTTTGCCACCCCATGGACTATAGCCTACCAGGCTCCTCCATCCATGGGATTTTCCAGCAAGAATACTGGAGGGGATTGCCATTACTAGCCTACAAAGTCATTAGTTTCATTGAACTTTTTGAAACTGTTGCTATAGTAACTAATTATGAAAATATTTATAGTTTCTTTATTATCTGAGCATAAGTGAATTATCCTAGGGATCCAGGCTGTAGTTTAAAGTTAAATCATCTTTTTTGAGATGCTCAGCACATGAATAGTGAAAAATAAAACTAGAACCAGAAACAAAATCACTACATCTGAAAAATCAGTGGAATGTGAAATAATGATATTTATTTTAAACATTGGGATGTATAATTTTAAACTACAAGTGATTCTACAGTAAGAAGTAGATGATCATTTCCATTGAGGAGAAAAACTAGCAAAAACTAATGTAAATTATAGCAGGATGGACTTAGGTTAGATGGGGAGATGTTTTACTGCCAATGTGATGAGGTAAAGAAATTCATTACAAGTGATCCTGTAAGGCAGTTTTTACAGAGGGCAAACCCTTGGGGGTAGTTTGTTGTCCTAAAAAAGAAAGATGGATGGAATTACATGTAAAAAGCTATTTATTGAAGAATTATCCCATGTAAGGCACTATGTTAGGTGCTTTAGTCACACAAATATCCTTAGTCTCAGGCTTCAACTCTAAGAAAAATTGGAAACCAATAGGGACATAAAACAATTATAGAGTTTCCTCTAGCCAAAAGTTTCAAAATGACAGCAGTACAAAGAGAGAAAAATTACATCAAATATGAGGGGAGAGGGAGGGTTTGATAGGAAGGCTGAAAGTGTGGTGGTGATAATACACTGCTGTATCCCTTAGTGTGGAATTTCTTAAGATACAGGGATCAGGCTGATGGAAACCGAAGTATAAGTTTTATTACTGAAAAAGCCCAGCTGGAGGTTGTTTGGGGAAAAGTGAAAAAGGGAACAGAGGGAACATGCATGGTTATTTCAAAACCTTCCCTCCTAGAGATTAGAAGTGGAAATGTCTTCCCCGTCAGGTTAGCATGTGAAGATGAAATATGGCCTTTCAACACAGCAATGAGGATTTTCTGTTACTTTGGTAGATAATGGTGAGATCACAGAAGAGCCTGATTCAGGAATATCATGATTAAAATTGTGCTTTATGGAAATGCATCTGACTCCTGAGGGCTACATAGTTTGGAGAAGGTCAGTTAGGACAATTATAGGAAAGTTTATCCAACGTTGGTTGGAAAGTTGGTCGGCCAATACTTTGGCCACCTGATGCGAAGAACTGACTCCTTGGAGAAGACCCTGATGCTGGGAAAGATTGAAGGCAGGAGGAGAAGGGGACGACAGAGGATGAGATGGTTGGATGGCATCACCATCTCAATGGACATGAGTTTGAGCAAGCTCTGGGAGTTGGTGATGGACAGGAAGCCTGGTGTACTGCAGTCCATGGGGTTGCAAAGAGTCAGACACAACTGAGCAAATGAACTGAAGTGGTTGGACATGTGTGTAGGATACAACAGAAAAGCTGATAGGATGCATTTGGGGTCACATGAGGATGGTGGCTTTGGAAATAGAAAAGAGGAGATGAATAATAAATAGACACAGAAATGCTGTAATCTCAAGAACCTAGTGCACAGAAACTTCACTCTCTAGAGTCTGGCAATTGACTAATATAAGGCTAAAGAGGGAGGGGTTAGATACCTGGGATTTTAATCTTGGTTCATTCTAGAAAATGGTTACAGTAAGGAAATCAAGAAAGTTAGCTATGGTGAAGAACTGAATTCACACAGAGTTCACTCTGGGCAGCTTTAGCTGTTCCTGTCAGTGGAGAAAATCTGTTTAACTCAATAACCATTTACCAAAGACTCACTGTGCATATACCACATAAGAAGAGTTCAAAAGTAATCTGATGGTATTTAAAGAGAAAGGGCATTGAATCATTGCATTTGGGGCCAAGATATATCCTTTTGAGATAGAGTTTGAAATGTATATATGATTTTGCTAACACTTTTACTACACAAGAAATACATCTTAAGGATAGAAAAATGAGAAAATACAGGTAAATAGAGAAAAGAGCATAATTTAATCACCCAGAAATAGTTGATATATATTGTTTATTTCTTAAGTCATTAAATCATATCCAACTCTTTGCAAACCTATGGACTGTAGCCCAACAGGCTCCTCTGTCCATGTGATATCCCAGGCAAGAATCCTGGAGTGGATTACTATTTCCTTCTTCATATGTGTGTATCAGTTCAGTTCAGTTGCTCAGTCATGTCTGACTCTTTGCAACCCCATGGACTGCAGTGTGCCAGGCTTCCCTGTCCATCACCAACTCCCGGAGCTTGCTCAGACTCACATCCATCGAGTTGGTGATACTGTCCAACCATCTCATCCTCTGTTGTCCATATATAAGTCTACAAATAACTAGAATCATATTTTGTATAAACTTTAGAAAAAAAACAACAACTTGTCATTAGCATGACCTAGAGAAGTCTAACAAGGAAAACAGTACACAGTTAATTCAGGGCCCAGAGAAGCCTCATTGAGTTGGAATGTGTGGTCTTTGATGGGAAAACAATGAGAAAGGATCAAAGCTGGAGGGCAGGCATAGACTGTGCGGCTGTGTTGTCTCTCTGTTGCATACATTCTTAGATAGACCTTTGCCAATGATTTTTTTTTAGTATTATGACTTTCCCCAACTGCTAAGTTCAATTTTGTGCCTAATTGTTATTTAAGAATCAACTGATGGTGTTCATTTACCTTTCAGATCTATGCCTATGCGACCACTGCAGATGGTTATGCACCTGAGTACCCACTTCCCCTGGTATTCAAAGTTGAAGATGACAATGATAATGCCCCATATTTTGAAAGCAAAGTGACTGTCTTTACTGTGCCTGAGAATTGCCGAACTGGTAAGTTCATGTTTTAGGAAAACACGAGATTTTTTTGCTTCAATTGAATTCTTTATTACTGTTTTAAGCATGGTTAGGCAAAATATTTTTAAATGTTTGACGTTCAAGGTATTTTACATATGGACTTCCCTGGCAGTCTAGTGGCTAAAACTACATGCTCCCATTGCAGGGGGTCCAGGTTCCATCCCTGGTCAGGGAACTAGATCCCACATGCCACAACTAAAACCCAGTGCGGCCAAATGAATAAATATTTAAAAAAATATTCTACATAAAACTTTGCAGTCTTATAAGATCATAGGCTCTTCAAAGTCAAAGTCTTTGTACTAATTTTCTAGGCACATGTAGAAGGCTGCTAACTGATCCACAAAATTTCTAACTTTGTTAGATTAATCCACAATGACAGACAAATGCTGTTTATATTTTCTATTTTGATCATGTGCTAGGTGTCCATGATGTATTTATAAAGCAATAGATCTTTTGAATCTTTACAATGTCACAATACCTTTTCAAGTACTCAAAAATAGATTATGGTATGGAAATGCTGATCAGGCTTATAACATATGTATTCCTTTACTTTGCTTAATTTCCAAACAAATTGAAAAAAAAAATTTTAAACTAGTCTGATGCTCTTAGCAGCCAAGATTGTGACCTCATCAAACCACAGGGTGTAACAAGTCTAATTTATTCTTAAAAATCACAAGATATGTTCTTAGTGTCGAAGCCTTTTCCATTCTGTTGTCACTTTGTGTGCATATTTAATGTCACTCTCCGCAAGAAATGGTTAGTTAAGGTAACTTTACTAATACTCTGATTTCTGAGCCATAAAGCTTGTCCAAATGACACTCAGACTGTTGTGTAATGTTTGTCTTGTATGTATTAGCAATTCAGCACATTTATTAAAGTATAAAAGCATGAAACCTTTGTTATCATATGCAAAGCTATTCTTTTCCTTTAACATTATCAAGTTGAATATAAAAGAAACAAGATATATAGAGAAGGTCTCATCAAAAAATGGTCATGGACTAGATTAGGAGGAAGAATTTGAGCACCCCTGTTCCCAAGGGTGGGGTGGATAGTCTCACCTATGTAGAATACAAATCATATTATCAGTGGTAGCCACCTAATTGAAATTTCCAGGTAAGGGGAGCTTGAAGCTGTGGGAGAGCATTTAGACACTTCCCAGCTGGCTCAGTGATAAGAAAGATTCACCTATCTGTGCAAGAGCTGCAGGAGATGTGGATTCAATCCCTGGGCTGGGAAGATCCCATGGAGGAAAAAATGGCAACCCACTCCAGTACTCCTGTCTGAGAAATGGACAGAGGAGCCCGGAGGGCTACAGCCCATGGGGTTGCAGAGTCGGACATGACTGAGCATGCATGCATGCTTCAGTTCAGTCACTCAGCCACGTCCAACTCTTTGTGACCCCATGGACTGCAGCACACCAGGCTTCCCTGTCCATCACCAACTCACGGAACTTACTCAAACTCATGTCCATCAAGTCGGTGATGCCATCCAACCATCTCATCCTCTGTCGTCCCCTTCTCCTCCTCCCTTCACTCTTTCCCAGCCTCAGGGTCTTTTCTAATGAGTCGGTTCTTCTCATCAGGTGGCATGCTTATTTGTTGATAAATTAATCAACCTGGGGGTTTTAGGGGAGAAAATGCCATAGCAATGCCTTGATTTTATTTTTGTTTGTAATTCAGTTAGATCACTACCTTAAGTTGTTGACAACACTGGATTTATCTAAACAGGAACTTCAGTGGGAAAAGTGACTGCGATAGACCTCGATGAACCTGACACGCTACATACTCGTCTGAGATACAAAATCTTGCAGCAAATTCCAAACAATCCACGACATTTCACCGTACATCCAGACACAGGTGTCATCACCACAACTACACCTTTACTGGATAGAGAAGTAATGAATTGCTTAATTTCTCAATCACTAAACTATATTTAAACTGATCATGATTTCCCAGAGGAGTTACAGTAAGGTTCTTGGTGGCCACCTCTCCAAGAATGTTTCTGTATAGACTGTGTGTAAGTCTTCTCAGGTCTATTCCTTTGTCCCTACAGAAATAGTGGGAATATACAAGGTCTCAGAGATCGTTGACCTGGTTTGATGTGTGGATATTAAAATAGCTTTACTTTTTAAAATATTATATCAGAAACGTCAGCTTTTCATTGTACTGACTGACATATCTTTTCTTTATTTGCATTTATGGTGGTTTCTTTTTTTTTAATCAAAAAAGAATGCTTGTGAAAGAATCAGAGTCTGAGAAATGGCTATGAGACGCACAAGTTATGAGAAATATGTGTTCATCATTTTCCTTTCTTTCAGAAATGTGATACGTACAAGTTAATAATGGAAGTTCGAGACATGGGGGGCCAACCTTTCGGTTTATTTAATACAGGAACAATTACTATTTCTCTTGAGGATGAAAATGATAATGCACCATATTTTACAGAAACTTCTGTGAGTATATATGTGTATTCATTTATCTAGGTTCATTTACTTCTTCAAAAAACAAATGTGGAGTCTGGTAGCTCCATGAAATCTTGGTTTTAATAGCTACCATTTACAAATAATATCCACAAAAAAATATGATTTCTGTAAAAATAATCACAGTGCTAGGATGCAAGGAAAATCAGGATGCAAGGAATATAAGTACTCTTAGTCATCTACAAGTCTTTCAGTTCAGTTTAGTCACTCAGTTGTGTCCAATATTTGCGACCCCATGGACTGCAGTATGCCAGTCTTCCCTGTCCATCACAAACTCCCAGAACTTGCTCAAATTCATGTCCATAGAGTCGGTGATGACATCCAACCATCTCATCCTCTGTCATCCCTTTCTCCTCCTGCCTTCAATCTTTCCCAGCATCAGGGTCTTTTCAAATGAGTCAGTTCTCTGCATCAGGTGGCCAAAGTATTGGAGCTTCAGCTTCAGCATTAGTCCTTCCAATGAACACCCAGGACTGATTTATTTTAGGATGGACTGGTTGGATCTCCTTGCAGTCCAGGGGACTCTCAAGAGTCTTCTCCAACACCATAATTCAAAAGCATTAATTCTTTGGCGCTCATCTTTCTTTATGGTCCAACTCTCACATCCATATGTGAACACTGGAAAAACCATAGCTTTGACTAGACAGACCTTTGTTGGTCAGGAAGTTGAAGAGTTAAGGCATGAAGAATGGACAAGATTTGAAACAGCATTATTAGTTTATTGAGGAAAGAAGTGAGTTTATGCATTAAATGTGTACATCCTTCCCACTGTGTTTGCACATTTCCATATCACTTTGCTTTCCTTTTCTTGAAATGTAACTTTGAGTAGAAAATTACATTAAAACTATGAATTTATAGTAACAATGGACAATTGTTTCAGTATACTGTAGAAGTAGAAGAAAACAGAATTGATGTTGAGATTTTACGAATGGCGGTACATGACCATGATTTGCCAAACACGCCTCACTCAAGGGCTGTGTACCAGATCCTACAGGGAAATGAAAATGGAACCTTCAAAATTAGTACAGACCCAAATACAAATGAAGCAGTCTTGTGTGTTGTCAAGGTAAAAAATATTTATATATATATATATATGTATGTATGTAGTAATTCCTGTATGTATATAACTAGAGTTGTTGCAATGCAATGCTGAAATGATTTACATTGTTTCATACATGAGCTTTATTATTATTACTTTATCCTCATTTTCTCTTAGATGAAAGACATGGTTGGTACAAAACTGATTGTTCTATATATGAGAAAAACCAAGGCAGAGAAATATTAAACTAATAAATAGATATTAACCTTAGAAGGTGTATTGGACACCCACTTATCTAATTCCTTATGAAGTATAAGACTTTTCGATTCTCTTCACACTCACATTATAGTTTTACCACTCTACAAAATATTTTATAAGACAGACTATTTACTAAACATTCAGCATCTATTCCCATTAATTCTCCTATATTTGAGGTAACAAGTGTGTTGGGATTTTTAAAATTTAATTGCATTTGCTGGCTCAGAGAATGTTCACTTTAACGGAACTTGGTTTCTTTCTGAGACCTTCTAACTGCAGTCTTCACTAACTTCTCACAACTTTCCATATTAATTTCTTAGAGACAGTGTATTTTCTTAGAAGGGATATGCATAAATTTTGCCTTCCTCATGAACTTTTTAGAAAATGTCCTTTAATTATAATATTACCTATTCTGTCTTTTTTTTCTCTCTTTTTTTTAAAATTTTTGGACTTTTTTTCTAGGTTTAGTTCTCATTTTTTGTTACTTTGGTAGATTTTAGTCTCTAATTGTTAATTGTTTGGAGATTCTTTATAGTTATTCACTTTGGGAACAAATAAATCCAAATATATTGTACTTTGAAAAGGTGCTGCTAGATAATATTATTATATCTTTTGATTTAGATACTCATAGTAACTGCTCCATTGTAGCCAAATCTGATGTCCTAGTGGTCTTATTACAGAGCCAAACTTGGGTCCACTCACTCCTGCATGGTAAAGGCAATCTACTGACAGTTGTGATAAAGTGCAGCTTTCTTGTAAAAGTTCCAATACAAGGAGAGTGACTGACTTGTGCTTGCAAACCCCAGACTCCCCTATGGTGTGTGTGTGTGGTGTTAGGTCCTCAGTCTTGTCCGACTCTCTGTGACCCCATGGACTGTAGCCCACCACGCTCCTCTGTTCATGGAATTCTCCAGGCAAGAATACTGGAGTGGGTTGCCATTCCCTTCTCCAGGGGATCTTCCCAACCCAGGGATCGAACCCCAGGTCCGCACTGCAGGCAGATTCTTTACTGTCTGAGGCACCAGGGAAGCCCCTAAAGGTGTCAACAAGGCGTTTACAAAGGCGAGGTGAGGAAGGGACCTTCCAGGTCTGTGGTCAGCTTGCGCACAATGCTCCGATTGGCTGATGCTGAGGGAGCAGGGTGGTGTCACGGGAGTTCACAGTATCAGTCTTCAGGTCTGGGGGCTATGTGCTCATGGTCATCAAGGAGTTAACATCTTCCATTTGGTGGGTTGGGGGGCAAGGTTTCACATCTATAAAAGAGCTCAGCAAGTGTGCACCAGGTGCCACTATCCAGGTAGGAGCTATCCTTCAGAAAGGAGCTAAAGCAGAGGATATGTGGGACAAGGCTGCCCTGGGAAGGCCCCATAGGGTCCTGCTTGGTTACAGTCTGTCTAATTATTTTATATACTTAGCTTAGAGGGACTTTTGCTGATTTAGTTATCACTGCTACCCCATTTGATGAATAATAAAATAGTGAGAAATAGCCCATTGAAATTCATTCAAGTATTCTGTATTTCTATTCATATTCAAACTTGTAAAAAAAGAAAAAAAAAAATAGAGGCAGGAACTTCCCAAAGGAAAGCGAGAAGAAAAATTGGTTGAATCTTAAAAATAAACAATTTTGCACTTGGTAGTGTTTGTCGCTTATAGGAAGCTGATTATTCATTGTTAATACATGAGCTGCAACTTTTGTTAACATTTTATACACAAAAATGATTCTCCCATTGGTGCTAAAACTTAGAATCATACTTTTGTCTTCTGTATATAGTGTTAAATATTGACTCATTCAAGTATGTTTACTGAACAGCCACTGAACTATGAAGTCAATCGCCAAGTTGTTTTGAAAATTGGTGTACTTAATGAAGCACAATTCGCTAAAGCAGTAAACTCAAAAACTACTACAACTATGTGTACTACAACTGTCACTGTTAAAGTTATAAACATTCATGAGGGCCCTGAATGCCAACCACCAGTGAAAGTTATTCAGAGTGAAGATTGCCTCCCCGCAGGCACAGAGCTCCTTGGATACAAAGCAGTGGACCCAGAAAGGGGCACTGGCGAGAACTTAAGGTAAGGTATTTTCAAATTTTTCTTTTTTTAATTGTGATGTTCATCTTTGTGCTCAGTTGCTCAGTAGTGTTTGATTCTTTGTGACCCCATTGACTGTGTAGAGTCTGACTCTTTGTGACCCCATGGACTGTAGCCCACTAGGCTCCTTTGTCCATGGAATTTTTCAGACAAGAATACTGGATAAGGGTTCCATTTCCTCCTCCATGGGATCTTCCCACCCCAGAGATGGAACTCACATCTCCTGCACTGGCAGGCAGATTCTTTACCATTGAGCCACCTGGGAAGCCCCAGTTGTGATGATAATTGATTTCGAATTTGGGAACATTCTATGTGTTTTTCAGAATGACAGATTTTGAGCTTATGTCCACTCCTTGGTTTGAACTTTTACATTTGATTTCTGAAAACTAGGTATAAGAAGATACGAGATGAAGATAACTGGTTTGAAATTAATGAATACACTGGTGACTTGAAAACTGTAAAAGTGCTAGATAGAGAATCAACATTTGTTAAAAACAACCAATACAATGTTTCTGTGATTGCATTCGATGCAGGTGAGTGCAAATTTCTAGAAATAAAATATAAACATAGGACATATTTTTAAGGAAATCTTGGAGTTAAATTTGTTTGTTTCCACATCAAAATTTAATGCAAACAATGATTGATTAATTGCAAACAATGGTTGCATCATGATTCCTTAATTTCTTGGCAACCACCCAGTTGAGGTCTCAGTGTATCACTAATTCAAAACTTGGAGGTTTCAGTTTCAAGGTTCATGTTATTTGAAGTCTGCCATGGACCTAGTGGCATCATCAAGGATCTCTATTGTTTTCAGGATTTTAGGTTTAGATTATTCGGATTTGAACTTGCTGGAGGGGTTCAACTCCCTAAAACAGTTGGGTTCAGATAGGTTTGTTCTGAGTCTTTCTTACTGGGGAATGAAACATTTATCCTATTTCCTAAATAAATGTCCTAACAGTGGTTTTTGAAGTCTTTTTTACTAAGATTCGCAATCATTCTCCAAGGTTAATTCTATAACCTGTCTTGTGAAGAAATGTCCTAAAATAGTGATCTCAAAACCCTTTGAACATACCCTCCAAGCAGTAAATCATTTTTTAATATGAACCTTTGCAGTGTATGCTCTGTCCGTTGGTTTCTGTTTTTGCAATGCAAGGGCTTGACTTAAGCTTTGATCGCCATCTCAAATAAACACATTCTGAGCCACAGAGCTAGATCCAAAATCATGTCAACCCCTATGCCATCTCCCCAAGCTCTTTTGTTTCGGAGATCTTGGTTGATTTCAATAACTCACTATTTGAGCTGCTTGTTTTTCTCTTCCTGTGCTTTAAATTCTTGCTCTTGTGTTTTAAATTCATCAATAAAGAGTGAGTCTGTGAAACCCAAGGCCCCAGCCTCCACCACAATACAAACAGAATCCCAGGTGTCACTCCCCTTGTTCCACACGGCCCCCCACAAACTTACTCTGGCTGTGTGATGTATGACTTACAAGGCTGGTAAATAATAAAACTTCCCCAGCCCCCAAAGCTTCCTGATGGTTTTTACTTAGGGCATCTTGCAATCATTATGATCACAAGGGTCAGTTCAGCTGCAACCTTGATTATTGATAGGCTGAGACCTGCCAAACAACTACCCCAGTAAACTTATTGGTGTGTTTATTTATATACATATACTAATATGCTAACATCATAACATACTACTATGTATACATTATAAAAATAGACTTTAAGAGAAGATTATAAGAAAAGAAGTAAAAGTTACAATATGGCATTTCATCTCATCAGTTATACACTCACTCATTGAGGTAAATTTCCATAAATGATAAAGAAGAATGAACTTGGGTTTTTATGATACAGCCTATGTTTTTGACTATCTGTTTAATCCAAGATGGTTGTCATGGTTTACACCTGGATTGGAAAAGAATTTCCAGACCTGAGGCACAATGAGAAATAAATAAAGTTTATTAGAGTGGGAGAGGCTGTTAGAACAGCGGGTTGGCTCAAGGGAGAACCAACCCTTTTCTTGGACTGCTGCTGCTGCTGCTAAGTCGCTTCAGTTGTGTCTGACTCTGTGTGACCCCATGGATGGCAGCCCACCAGGCTCCGCCATCCCTGGGATTCTCCAGGCAAGAGTACTGGAGTGGGTTTCTTGGGCTAGTAGCTGATTTTTATGGCCTCAGGACAGAGGAAATTCCTGCTGAAAATGGTGGCATTAGGTGATTGGTTAGGATGCTATAGAGTGGGTATTTTACCTAATATGGGGTCAAGGAACTGGCCAGTTTAGGTCTAGAGGCAACAGTTGCTATGGGGCTTGGTCAGCTCCAGAGATTTTTGGCCTGTGACGTTGGTGTAGGGTTCCACACCTGTGATCTTGGTATAGAGCTCTACAATGGTGCTCACTATTTTTATGGTTAGCTTATTTTTATACACTGGATGTTCAAAACAAGCTGGTACAGCAATGTTGTGGTCTTTTTCTATAGAATCATTGAATTTCTTTAGTAGGAATGGGCAAGTGCATGAATAAACATGTCAAATCCCATGGAAATAAACAAAAGCTGAAATGGTCCAAAGTCATGAATTGACTTGTTCATTTTATGAACAATGACTTGTTCATGCTTGTTCATTTTACCCGTTAATAGCTTGATAATAAGATAAAGACAAATATTTTCTCATGTATCATACTTCTACTTTTTTCTATAGCTTTACAATAAAAGCCACATCTACTTAAAAAAATAGATTCTCTGTTGAGAGGCAAAGGTTAAACCAATAAAGATGCTACTGCTTATGATGTTCATGGTGAGGGCAAGCCAGTCCATTTGTCCCATTTAGGTTTTTTCCTTACTTTCTCTCTCAGCCTTAGTGCATTCTTTTTGCCTGGGAATGGGAATGGTCTGTTGCACGTCATAATCAGTGAGTAAACCAAGCAGCCTGCAAAAAGTATGTCCATGAGCCAAAAAATTTTGGTTTCAAAGTCTGAAAGAAAACCACAGTTTGAATATTGTTGCCTAATCATGTGCATATGATCTTCCTGTAATCTTTTTTTTTTAATTTATTCACTTATTATTTAATTTTGGCTGTGTTGGGTCTTCATTGCTACATGGGCTCTTTTCTAGTTGCAGTGAGTGGGGGCTACTCTCTAATTAACAACATGTGAGGGCTTCTTAGGCGGGGGATTGTCTTGTTGCAGATCATGTGCTCTAGAGCTTGCAGGCTTCAGTAGTTGTGGCTCTGGGGGCTCTAGAGTGCAGGTTCAATAGTTGTGGTGTGCGGGGTTAACTGCATGTGAAATCTTCCCAGACCAGAGATCGAACCTGTGTCCCCAGCACTGACAGGCAGATTCTTAACCACTGGACCACTAGAGAAGTCCTTCCTCTTCTCTTGGCACCTCTCACAGAATCTTTTATTATAATTCTTTCAGTATAAGTAGGAAAAGAAAATACCCTACTAAACAGTGGGGGGGACATTAACTGAGAAATACAGTTAATACTGCCACTACTTTATAATCATGGAGATTTGCTGCTTATAAAAAAGCAAAGGTGAAATCTGATTGGTTCAGGAACACAATTTTGATGAGAAACAAGGATTTATATTTACTCACTTATTGCACTAATGCTGATTGTCTTTTAAGTCCTAAGTTCTAAGCCATGAAAACTAGGATTCATAAGACGAAATCAAATTTTTCACATAATATCAGTTGAAGGATGATTATATTCTCATAAAATATTCTCTGGTATAAAAACTTTCCCCATCAAAGAATGTATGACCATCATAAGAAGTGGAAAGCAGTTAAAATGTTACCAAGCTGAAAGGATAAAGGAAGTGATTTCACAGAAACGCAAAAGCTTGGTGATAAAAAAGGAAATACTCTTTGGGGAGAAGGAAAATATGGAAAACAGAGATATAAGAAGTTAACTTTGTCTTTTGGTGATAAAAGAATGTCTGTAAGTATAGTGATCATAGTACAAAGAAATGAAATGTCATATCTATGTCCCAAGCTCATGGATAACTTGGGTGTGCTCAAGAAGGAAAGATAGGGTGTTAGAAATTTTAATGTAAGATCATATGGTGAAGGATTTTGTTTATTTAAACTTTAATACATTTTAATATATGCTTCCAAGGGTCAGATATATAAGTAATTACTTATATTTCTACATGAATATTTAGTTTTGATGCTCATATATAGTTCATGATGGTGATCTAGGTATCCAATTAATATCCTTGTATTTTTTGTGTCAGTTCTTTTTTGTCAACCAGCTTGCCTCCCTGCTTTCACTCTAAAGGCACTGTTCTGTGCCCCCTCTACCTACAATGAATGGCTCTTGCCTGGTGACTCAGATGGTAAAAGCGTCTGCCTACAATGCGGAGACGCGGATTCGATCCCTGGGTCAGGAAGATCCCCTGGAGAAGGCAATGGCAACCCACTCCAGTACTCTTGCCTGGAAAATCCCATGGACGGAGGAGTCTGATAGGCTACAGTCCACGGGGTCGCAAAGAGTCCGACACGACTGAGCGACTTCACTCACTCGCTCACTCACTCACTCACTCTACCCACAATGACTGCCCCTTCTGTTTGAAATTCAGGTCCCTTTGCTTCTTCAAATGGATGGCAGAGATGACTTTTGTGATAACTCTCACTAATCTTTGTTTAGTTCCTCTCTGAATACCTTTTAAACCCTCCTTCCCTGGGAATAATACTGTAATTATCACAGTATAAGTATATATACTTATATATATAATTAAGTATAAGACACATATAGATGATGTGTCTTCTCTATAAAATGGAGCTCTCATTATTTCTCATGTACAGCCTTTCCCTCTAGCTAGGCTGACTATGAACTCATTTTCATATAAAGACCCTTATCTTTGTTAAATATCTTTTTACCAAGCATCTAGCAGAGATCTTGGCATGTTTGCTTCGTGTAGGTACTGGTATTTCCCATTTCTCTGCTGTTCTGTGAGTCTCCAGGTCCAGGTTGTGAATTTTACTGCTTAGATCTTTGCAAATTCAGGTTCATAACAGGCACTTGGAACACTTAGCTTTAATGTAGAAACTTGAGTTAAAAAGTTTACAAATGCTTTGATATACTTGAGTGTAAAAATAATTTTCTTAAAATGAATATTTCAGGGTTGTCATGTGGAAGAGGTACTTTTTGTGTGTACAGTCCAAAAAAAGAAAAAATTAGAAATGATTAGGCGGTGTATTACAGCTTGGTAAGAAAGAATCTGAAAACTTTCCAATCATTAATTAAAGAGTTCTGTATATGGAGTGGGCTGATTTATAACCCTGTAAACTTTCTTTTCCTAGAAACATTTAAATAACAGTGGGGAACTCTTGCTTTTCAGAGTTCTAATTGTTGTAAATTTAGATTTTAGTTAACCCAAGATGTACTTTTTAGCCTGGAGATTATGACATTCCTTACTCACTGATTCTTGGCATTTGCTTATGTGTTTAACTTAAAATAAGGTTTGCTCTTATTTAGTTCCTTAGTTGTGTCTGACTGTTTTGCGACCTCACAGATTGTTGACCCCGCCAGACTCCTCTGTCCATGGGATTTCCCAAGAAAGACCTGAAATAGGTTGCCATTTCCTTCTCCAGGGGATCTTCCTGACCCAGGGACTGAACTAGTCTCCTGCACTGCAGGCAGATTCTTTACCACTGAGCCACCTGGAAAGCCCAAAATAAGGTTTGGGAGCAGGCAAACATACATACTTAACTACCTTTTCACAGTTCTTCAACTATTATCAGGAATTACTTAAAAAAAAATTTTTTTTTTTGCTCTGTTTCCCAGAAGGAAAAAATCTGCAATCAGTCTTTCGTAGTTTTAGAAGACATCTAGGACTTTGTTTTCAGCTGTGGCTTTGCCTACTATCCATTTTAACAGTTTTGAGTTTTTCTTTTTTAACAATATGCTTAAAACAGAGACTGTGATGGAAAATAATCATTTATGTGATAAATGCTGGTTGAATATGGAATTAAATGAGTCTTTATTTGTTTCTGGATGGCTGCCCTATTTCTTTATTTCACTTTTAAAAGTGTGATTTCTATTGTACCTTAAAGAGAAATAGCTTTCTTCTTATATTTTAATAGTTAAAATCCTAACACACATGTTGATTCACACTAGTACCTGTAACTATTTCTTACATTAAAAAAGCTTATTTTTCCAACTTCCAACTTCTTTTTTAGGTGTTGAAGTTGTCATTTGTACTCAAATTTATTTACAAATTTATGTCAATCTCAAAACGTTTATATGCTATTGTGAAAGTGAAATCTTTCAGTCGTGTCCGACTTTTTGCAACCCCATGGACTGTGGCCTACCAGGCTCTTCTGTCCATGGGATTTTCCAGGCAAGGGTACTGGAGTGGGTTGCCATTTCCTTCTCCAGGAGATCTTCCCAATTCAGGGATCAAACCCGAGTCTCCCGCATTGCAGGAAGACGCTTTACCATCTGAATCACCAGGGGGATATCTGTGCTATTATAGATTTTTTTTTTTAAACAAAAGTGGTTATTTCTCTTTAATTTCTAGATGCTGTTAAATTTGTTTAGATTGAATAGTTTTTAAATAGATATATACTGCTGTTACCTTGTAAGTAACTAATTTAAAATCACTTTGAATAAATTCTTATTCAACAGAAAAAAATTTCACTGAAATACACTACTTGATATGGCTTAAGTGTTATTTTAATCTAAAAAGAAAAAACATTAAATTTTCACATGATTTATGGTAGTCTATATGATAAATTCAATGTTTATGCACGAAAATTTAGACCAGCATTCAAAGCAATAAAAGTGAGGAATTTCATCAGTTATTTTTTTGTTTATTTCAATTTTGAAATCTTACTATTTAGAGTAGTTTTATCACAAGCTTTAAAATTTGAACATGTTCTGTAAGCTTCATTATCTCTTAAATACCAATAATGGGCATTATGCTAATTTAAGATATTTATTTAGATTTATGTGTTGAAGCATTAGGCCATTAATAGTGGAGTTCTGGAGGTAAGAGTTCTTATTCTCAAAAGCATATTAATTAGATTACAGTGGGGGGGGTGCAACTTTTTTATAGTTTGTTCAATTGATTTTTTTTAAGTATAAAAATTAATGCTATGACAAACCTAGACAGTAAAAAGCAGAGACATCACTTTGCTGACAAAGGTCTGAATAGTCAAAGCTCTGGTTGTTCCAGTAGTCATGTAAGGCTGTGAGAGTTGAACCATAAAGAAGGCTAAGCACCAAAGAACTAATGCTTTCAAATTATGGACAGCAAGGAGATCAAACCAGTTAATTCTAAAGGAAATCAACCCCAGATATTCATTGGAAGGACTGATGCTGAAGCTGAAGTTCCCATAGTCTGGCCACCTGATGTGAAGAACTGGCTCATTAGAAAAGACCCTGATGCTAAGGAAAGATCAAAGGCAAAACGAGAAGAAGGTGGCAGAGGATGAGATGGTTGGATGGCATCACCAATTCAATGGACATGAGTTTGAGCAAACTTGGAAACAATGAAGGACAGGGAAGCCTGGAGTGCTGCAGTTCATGGCGTTGCAAAGAGTTCAAAATAATTTAGCAACTGAACTACAAGTGTTCAGTGTGTTAGTATTAAGTTAGCCAGGGAATACTGGGCAGATCACTGGGCTGTCAAGATGAATACGAAGTAGCCCTTAGGATGAAAAGTTAAGTGCATGAGCTAAAGATGAAGGAGGGTTTTGAGAAACTGGAGGAGAATGTGCAAGCATTGTCCATAGAAGTCACGGCAAGTATCAGGCAGAGGTGACATTTGAATGGATGCTTAAAGGATAATGAGGTTTTATCAGCAAAGGGGAGGAGTATTCCCAGCAGTGGCAATAGCACGTGCCAAAGCTGCACACAGGATGGAGCACAGTTTCTGGGTTTGATAATCAGGTTTACAAAGTTTGGGCTTCCCTGGTGGCTCAGATGGTAAAGAATCCGCCTGCAATGCAGGAGACCTGGGTTTGATCCCTGGGTTGGGAAGATCCCCTGGAGGAGGGCATGGCAATCCACTCCAGTATTCTTGCCTGGAGAGTCCCCATGGACAGAGGAGCCTGGCGTGCTACAGTCCATGGGGTTGCAAAGAGTCGGACACGACTGAGTGACTAAGCACACACGTGACAAAGCTTGAACAATGAGTATATGAGGAAAAGGGTCAGGAGAGGAAGTCAGGAAGTGATTGTGACCTAATGTAAAGTCTTTATACTTTAAGCATGAATGCACTTTCAAAGAAGGGTGTAAGAAATCAGCTATCTTCTAAATCGGTCATTCTGTAGTGGCATTACTCATAATCTGATAGCTTTTAATTTTAAAAACCACTTCACGATGTCATCCGATACAGCTACCAATCTCCAGGGAAGAGTAATGTCACTATTTTGTACTGGTAGCAGTGGTATTTGTGGTTTGGAAAGTGTGTGAAATTCAAGTTCAGACAACTAGTAGAAAGCAGATGTCAACTGTACATCATAGAGATTGTTGAAAATAAGTGTTTAAGTGGAGAAACATCCTATTTTTTATTTTTCTTAGATGGCAGATCTTGCACCGGAACGTTAGTAGTTCTTTTGGAAGATAAAAATGACCACCCACCGCAGATAAAAGAAAAAGAACTGACAATTTGCCGGCATGATAAGGATTTTGCTGTCCTCGAACCTATAGATCAAGATGGACCTGACAATGGGCCACCTTTTCAATTCATTCTTGATAATTCTGCCAGCAAACTTTGGACAGTAGAGACAAGAGATGGTATGCAATTATGCTAAACCTTCTAATCAATAGGAACTTAGAATGTTTGGTGGCCTAAGACTGTTACCTTATTTACTTATACTAAAATAAATCTTAATTTTAGTAAATTATTTTATTGATCTCAGATAAAGGATAATACCTTGTTTCTTAAAACAATGATTAGATTCTTATTCTGAATATCTTTAAGAAAACAGACAAATCCATTTTAATAAAATATTTGAATAACATAGTAAATATAGAATAGTAAAGATAAGTATAAAGCAATATCAATTACTTTTCCTGTCTTTTCAAGAAATCAAGATCTCTTTTTTTTCCACATAGGTAAAACTGCCATTCTTCGGGGACAGCAAGATCTTGATTATAACTATTACACTGTTCCTATCCAAATAAAAGACAGACATGGAGCTTCTGCAACAGAAATGTTATCAGTGAGAGTATGTGATTGTACAATTCCATCTGAATGTAGAATGCCTGCTAAACTTCCGAGAGAGGCGACACTAGCAAATGTATTCCTTGGAAAATGGGCTATACTTGCCATGGTGTTAGGTTCTGTATTGTTGTTATGTAAGTATAATTATACAGAATGTGTTAGCTGAAACGTTATCTAATATTTTTTAAAATATATGACAATTCTTTACATTAATGACATTGATAGCCTTTGAGAAATGTGTCCTTTTAAAATTCTTGTGCAAACTCTATGACTTGGAGTTGAATCACAGAAGAAAAGGAATTTTTTTTTTTTGAGTTTCATTTATTTTTATTAGTTGGAGGCTAATTACTCTACAATACTGTAGTGGGTTTTGTCATACATTGACATGAATCAGCCATGGATTTACATGTATTCCCCATCCTGATCCCCCCTCCCACCTCCCTCTCTTCCCAATCCCTCTGGGTCTTCCCAGTGCACCAGGCCCGAGCACTTGTCTCATGCATCCAACCTGGGCTGGTGATCTGTTTCACTATAGATAATATACATGCTTTTCTCTCGAAAAATCCCACCCTCGTCTTCTCCCACAGAGTCCAAAAGTCTGTTCCGTACATCTGTGTCTCTTTTTCTGTTTTGCATATAGGGTTATCATTACCATCTTTCTAAATTCCATATATATGTGTTAGTATACTGTAATGGTCTTTATCTTTCTGGCTTGCTTCACTCTGTATGATGGGCTCCAGTTTCATCCATCTCATTAGAACTGATTCAAATGAATTATTTTTAATGGCTGAGTAATATTCCATGGTGTATATGTACCACAGCTTCCTTATCCATTCGTCTGCTGATGGGCACCTAGGTTGCTTCCATGTCCTGGCTATTATAAACAGTGCCGTGATGAACATTGGGGTGCACGTGTCTCTTTCAGATCTGGTTTCCTCAGTGTGTATGCCCAGAAGTGGGATTGCTGGGTCATATGGCAGTTCTATTTCCAGTTTTTTAAGAAATCTCCACACTGTTCTCCATAGCGGCTGTACTAGTTTGCATTCCCACCAACAGTGTAAGAGGGTTCCCTTTTCTCCACACCCTCTGCAGCATTTATTGCTTGTAGACTTTTGGATAGCAGCCATCCTGACTGACGTGTAATGGTACCTCATTGTGGTTTTGATTTGCATTACTCTGATGATGAGTGATGTTGAGCATCTTTGAAGAAAAGGAATTTTCAGAACTATGGCCTCAGTTCTTCCAATAATTAGCTGTGAGACACTGGATAAATCATTTCTTCTTCTTTAAGCTCTTTTTTTAAATGGTGCAATGAAGAGTTTGGATAAAATTAATGTTAAGTTTCCCTCCCATACAAAGTATGATTATCTTTCAACCAGCCTCATTCATGGAGTGGATGCACAAAAAGAGTTAGTGAAAAGAGTAGTTTAAAAATTTACTTAGATGTTTGTGCTCAATGATATTAATGAATATTAATGACATCATTTAGCATACATCTTAATTAGACTCCAGAGTGTGAGGGAAATGGCCATACGATGAGTTGCTGAGGAAAAGCAATGGAAGATTTTGCATTCTGCAAACTGGTTTTTGGAGATGCAAAAGTGATGGAAATCTTTGCTCAGGCTTCTCCCTTCCCTTCCTCTCCTTTTTTTCCTTCCTTTGCTTCTTTTCCCTTCCCTCCTTCCTTCTTTCTTTTTCAAAAATCTGTTTGACTACACGCAGTCTATTTGCATTTACTGACTTTTCCCGTAGCCTTTACTGTGTCTGTGTTCAGTGATTTGTGTTTCACGCTAAACTGGATATTCCTCTTAGCACTTGATGGTTGCTTTCAAAACCGAGCACTGGTTTTATGTAATGGCTTTTCCTGTTTGATTTATGTCTAATGTTCCTTGTTTTGTGATTCTAAGATCTTTGAGTTGTTCTGTATGGACTTTAATACCAATAATACTAGCTTAAAGTCCAATCAAATGAAGTTACTATATCAATCTGGAGAAAAGAAGGAAAACGTTGAATTCTGAACCTGGGAAGAGAGCTATTCACAAACTATGTTCACTTCCTCTTTCTATTTATTGATTTGTTTCTTATTTAGCCTAATAACATAACCTCACTAAGACAGTCTACATATATTTGTTAATAATCTCTTTTAAATTTTATGACCCAAAGAAATTTCAATTTATGGAACCAATTTTTTTAAAGTTCTGTGAAGAACTTAAAAAAAAATTGATTCAAATGATTTACTATATAATTCAAATGATTATAATCATTTACTATAAATCAAATGATCTACTGTACCAGCATGAAAAAAATGTGATTTTACTTATATAATTTTATTTTTTAGGTATTTTGTTCACATGTTTCTGTGTTACTGTTAAGAAAACAGTAAAGAAGTGTTTTCCAGAAGATGTAGCACAACAAAATTTAATTGTATCAAATACTGAAGGACCTGGAGAAGAAGTGATGGTAAATCAGATTTCACCTTTTTTGGTATGGTAGTTCAATGAGGCTGTGATGTGCTTAGTCACTCAGTCTAGTCGGATTCTGCAACCCCATGGACTGTAGCCCCACAAGATCCTCTGTCCATGGGATTCTCCAGGCAAGAATACTGGAGTGGGTTGCCATTCTCTTCTCCATCAAACCCAGGTCTCCCGCATTGCAGGCAGATTCTTTACCATCTGAGCCACCAGGGAAGCCCAAGTTCAGTGTTAATAGTTGAAGCCCAAGTTCAGTGTTAATAGTTGATTATTACGTAAAATAGTAATAATGATGCACTGCGTGTGAGCTAAGTCGCATCAGTCATGTCCAACTCTGTGTGGCCCTGTGGACTGCAGCCTGCCAGGCTCCTCTGTCCATGGGATTCTCCAGGCAAGAATACTAAAGTGGGTTGCCTGGCCTCCTCCAGGGGATTTTCTTGATCCAGGGATCACCTGCCTTGGAAATGGGTTCTTTAGCACTGGCACTACCTGAGAAGCCCAAATAATGATAACAGCTAATGCTCCTGAGAAATCTGTATGCAGGTCAAGAAGCAACAGTTAGAACCGGACATGGAACAGTGGACTGGTTCCAAATTGGGAAAGGAGTACAAAAGTCTGTATATTGTCACCCTGCTTATTTAGCTTATATGCAGAATACATTATGTGAAATGCTGGGCTGGATGAAGCACAAGCTGGAATCAGGATTGCCAGGAAAAATATCAATAACCTCAGATAGGCAGATGATATCACTCTTATGGCAGAAAACGAAGAGGAACTAAAGAGTCTCTTAATAAAAATGAAAGAGAAGGTGAAAAGCTGGCTTAAAACTCAACATTCAAAAAACTAAGATCATGGCATCTGGTCGCATCACTTCATGGCAAATAGATGGAGAAACTATGGAAACTGTGACAAATTTTATTTTCTTGGGCTCCAAAATCACTGCAGATGGTGACTGCAGCCATGAAATTAAAAGATGCTTGCTCCTTGGAAGAAAAGCTATGACCAACCTAAGCAGCATATTAAAAAGCAGAGACATTACTTTGCTAACAAAGGTCCATCTAGTCAAGGCTATGGTTTTTTCAGTAGTCATGTATGGATGTGAGAGTTGGATTATAAAGAAAGCTGAGCATCAAAGAACTGATGCTTTTGAACTGTGGTGTTGGAGAAGACTCTTGAGAGTCCCTTGCAAGGAGATCCAACCAGTCCATCCTAAAGGAGATCAGTCCTGGGTGTTCATTGGAAGGACTGATGCTGAAGCTGAAACTCCAATACTTTGGCCACCTGATGTGAAGAGATGACTCATTGGAAAAGACCCTGATGCTGGGAGGGATTGGGGGCAGGAAGAGAAGGGGATGACAGAGGATGAGATGATTGAATGGCATCACCAGCTTGATGGACATGAGTTTGAGCAAGCTCCAGGAGTTGGTGATGGACAGGAAAGCCTGGTGTGCTGCCATCCATGTGGTAACAAAGAGTCGGACACAACTGAGTGACTAAAATGAACTGAATACTTATTGAGCACTTACTATGCCAAACAGGGGCTTCCCTGGTAGCTCTGCTGGTAAAGAATCCATCTGCAACCCGGGAAACCTGGGTTTGATGCCTGGGTTGGGGAGATCCCCTGGAGGAGGGCATGGCAACATGATAACAAAGCTCAGCAAACTGAATGTAACTGAACTGAAATTTGTCCCACAGTTCAGAAGGCTAGAAATGAGAGATTAGGTGTTGACAGAATCCTACTCCACCTGAAGGTGCTAGGATTCTATTTCAATTCTCCCTCCCAGCTTTTGGTAATTCTTTGGCTTATGACATCATTGATTGAGTCTTCATATCGCATTGTGTGTGTGTGTCTAAGTCCAACTTTCCCCTTTTGGATTAGAGACGTATCTTACTTGATTAGGACCTTGTCTTAATTTAACTAATTGCATCTAAAAATGACTCTATCTTCAAATAAGATCGTATTCTGAGACACTTGAAGGTTAGGACTTTAACAATTGAATTGGGGTGGGGGATGTGATTTAACCTATAGCACTTATGATATGAGTATTATTATTATCCTGATTTTACATAAGGGGAAATAGAGAGGCACAGCAGTTAAGTGATTTGCCCATGTGAAAGTGAAAGTTTCTCAGTCATGTCTGACTCTTTGTGACCCCATGAACTATGCAGTCCATGGGATGCTCCAGGCCAGAATACTGGAGTGGGTAGCCTATCCCTTCTTCAGGGATCTTCCCCACCCAGGAATTAAACTGGGGTCTCCTGCATTGCAGGCAGATTCTTAACCAACTGAGCTATCAGGGAAGCCCTCAGATTTGCCCTATCAGATTTGCCTATGGTGGGAAATAAATGAAAGAAAATGGTTAGTTTCAATTTGATTTATTTATTTTAGGATGCAAATATTAGACTCGCCACACAGACATCCAACATTTGTGACACAAACATGTCTGTTGGCACCCTTGGTGGCCAGGGAGTCAAAACACAGCAAAGTTTTGAGATGGTCAAAGGCGGCTACACTTTGGATGCCAACAAAGGAGGTGGACATCAGACCCTGGAATCTGTTAAGGGAGTGACGGACACTGGCAGATACACATACAGTGACTGGCACAACTTCACCCAACCTCGGCTTGGCGAAGTAAGTGCCAGTGTCTTCATGTTCATTTTACATGAAAGTTAAACTCTGTTTATAAATCAGGATTTCCCCAAAGTTTTACTCCTTATACATCTGAAGCTCATCACATTTTTCATGTTGAATTATAGATATATGAGTATTAGATCCAAACCCAAAGAGAAAAATGACTTCGTAAAGTTCAACTTTTAAAATAAGGTTTCCAAAACTTGACCTAGGAGTGGCTTATGTAGGCATTTCTATAGTTAAGGAAGTATAAAAAGACTCAGCTTCCTTCCTAAAAATTGCCAGGAAAATCACCTAGAGTGAAATGTTACAGGGTACTATGTGGATCACAAATTATAAATATTCTTAGTATGCTGAATCATCCATGTGATTATGAAATCTTAATGATCGCCATCAACCAGACAGATCATTAAGCTTTTATTTTGGGTTTTAGTTCCTCATTATATGTTAAGGTCAATGTAGATTAATATTAGCCAGATAAATATATTATTATAAGTATGTAATAATATATAAACATAAGGGTCATAGCTTCTATTAGTTTCCCCTAAATATGTAAAAAAGTTGTAGACACATTTCAATGATACAAATCTCATGTTTAAATGGGAAATTGTAAGCTAGTTGTGTGATGCTTGTGGAGCTTCAGTTTTTATCAATGTGTTTAGGAGCATTTATATATTTGCTATATTTTAAGAATGAATATAATACAGACCAATCATGTGCATTTTTTATATGTAGGAATCCATTAGAGGACACACTCTGGTTAAAAATTAAACAGTAAAAGGTAAATAAAAGCCATTATTTTTAAGCTAATACATTTAGGTGTTTTTTAAAAAAAATAATAAAATGTGCTCTTTCTCGACACAGAAGGTGTATCTGTGCGGACAAGACGAGGAACACAAGCTCTGCGAAGACTACGTTCGCTCCTATAACTATGAAGGGAAAGGGTCTGTGGCCGGCTCCGTGGGCTGCTGCAGCGATCGGCAGGAAGAAGAGGGGCTTGACTTCCTAGATCATCTGGAACCCAAATTTAGGACTCTAGCGAAGACATGTGTAAAGAAATAAGTGTGCCTTTTAATAGCATAACATCTACGAGCACATATGTAGGGGGTTATTGAATGTAAAACAATAGCAGTATCTGGTAAAGTACTTGTTTATGGAGGTAAACTTCCAGTCGTGTGTAGATATGGATACTATGAATATGAAGCTACCTTAAATTCTCCTTGTCTGAGATAACTTTTGTCTTCTCTAGAAATCAGTGTTTCATTTGTTAATTTCCTTTTCTATGCATGTACATTTTCTTGCCCTTTCCAGGACTGCACTGTGTGCTTTCTTGCACCTTCTGTTTGAAAACTTATGTTACTTGGTATGCTCTGGAAGAGTATGTGAGGGAGTTAGGGATTGTGGAGATTAAAGAAAAATGCATTGTTGTTTTAGATGAAAATGAAATATTATCTTCAGAATCTTGGGGACAATTATGCTTTTAGAAGTATTGTCTTTGGTGCTGCAGAATTGCTTCCTTTACCTGAATGGCTCTGTGCTGAAGAATTTTTTATGCATTCTCTGATGCAGTCTTTGATTGGTGAATAAGAGCTCATCTTTCATTGTGTTTTCACCCTGTGGAGGTGCTCCCAGCTTGCTCCTGGGATCTCTGTTGATGTGGATGCATGATCAGGTTCCTACAGGTTCTAGAATTGTTGGAAAGATGTGGACCAGAAGAGGCTCACAGCAATTTGAGTCACTGAGACTTTTTAAAAATAGCATTTCCATGAAAGAATTGCAGTCTTAATGCCCATGGGTTGACTGAAATACCCAAATCTGTTTTGTTGGACCAACATGATGTATTATTACCTTTTAAAAATGTAAATACCTTGGCAAGGACATGTTCTCTCTAGTTTGACACCATCCCACCATCCTCAAGCATTTGAGTAACTAGACCAGTAGGCATTAGGCTTACAACCCTGATAGCCCTTTGAATATGCTAAACACTGAATGACTATGCATGCTGGAATGGATACTCAGGCTACATAGGTAATCACTTTCAGAAAATGTTAAATAAAAAAAAGTGTCTGGCATATATATGTTAAAAAACTGAAATGTGTTAACTCAGTTCTTACCAAACATTTGTTGAGTGATGCTGGATAAAAGAATGAAAACATGAGTTAATGAGCTATTTTGAATACATAGCATTTTAATAAGATATTCTATTTTATTAATTTAGAAAAAACCCATATATTTAAATAATATTTTAATAGTTTTTTGTGCCAAATGCTGTAGATTCATAAAACATTAACAGTATATATCACAAGGAAATTTTTCATTCAGACAAAAAAGTTTTTTTTCATCTTTTAGCTACTTAACCTTCAAAAAAAATGAGTGACTAATTTTTTTAAATTTTGTGAATTCTTCTTCTTCTTCTTAGTCACAGGATCTAAATAAAGATGTTTCTTGAAATTAAATAGTAGAGCAGAATAAATAAGTAGCTTTAGTAAGTAAAATTTTTATTTTATAAGGTGTCCTCTATGTATTATTTTTATGACCACTGTCAGTAAAATAATTTTGGAGAGTCATGCAGCTTCTGAATATCTGTTATCTGATGTACATGTTATTCTGACAATGATGCTAGTTTTGAAATTTTCTAATATTAAAATTTTGGAAATATATCATAATGTTCTATTTTTGAACATAGATGCAGAATGTTTGCTGAGCAATTAAAAATCATTAGCTGAACATTAGCTTACATGTTTGCTTATGTCTTTGTATTTCTTAAATTAAGTGTGAAAGAGAAAATTTGAATCTGAACATAAGGTACAAATAAAGGCCAAAGGCTGATTTCTCAAATCAACAAGAGGAGATAGTTTACAACTATGACGAGAATTATTAGAAAGTGTAGGAAATGAATTCATATTAAGGAATTTTGATTATTTTAAGATGTTTCAAAATATCATTAAAATTTATCTCATAGAAGAACTATGATGTCTTTTGATTTACTTAGGAATTTCAAAGTCATTGTCTATTTACACTCAAAATTAAATGTTAATTGTATGATTAATGAAATTTATGAAACTCTGCTGGACTGTTTATGAATTTAGTTAATAGAATATTGTATATTATGAATTATCTCATGTATGTTAATTTTCACTTAATTGTTGGTAAGTTAATCATTCTGAATTGTTTTCAATAATGAAATCTATAGTTATGGAAAACATACAATTAAAACTTTCCTATCTTATCAAGATCTCAAACTATTTCATGTGAAAAATTTGATGGAAACTCCAAGATAGAAGAAAATTGACATAATTGCTATAAATGAACTTTTGTTAAATACTTCCTTAACTTTGTTGAACTTTTAATTCCTCCTAGGTTTTTTAAAATATTTTGTAAAACTTGATATCTATGCATATGCTTACTTTTAGAGAATGGAATATGCTGTTATTTGGAAAATATTCACAATAGTTGTTCTAGAGTTGAGGACTTTAATTATCATAGAGAGGAAAAGCTAACTTTTTTTGTTGTGTGTTAGTTATACAAGTCCTGTACTACTTGAAATTCCTCAATTAGATTAATGAAACAAACTGTATATTGCTGCATATTTTTGGTCTCTTTTATCTGCTTTTCTAATAAATCTGAAGGAACATTTTTCACTTGGCCAGATATTGCATTTGTCTTACTACGTGGTTAGATTAAAGAAAAGAGGACTATTTATAGCAGCAGAAAACATTACTAAGAATGGATAGAACTTTGTGTACTTTATAGGGTCTAGTAAATTTTTTTTTTTTTTTAGGGCCTAGTAAATTTTATCGAGCGTGAAAGGATAGTGTTGCATGAGAAGTAAAAACCACAGTTGAGCTCATATCCTTGCCACTGCAAGTGAAATGATAACCACTTTCTAATATATAAGTAGAATAATTGTTTAAGAAATGTTATGTGCCAAGTATATTTATAATATGCATTTCATGCAGGTAGATCAAATTATTTTAAAATCTTTACTTCTTAAAGTAAGTGTTTTGAACAATAGGAATAAAATGCATTCCATAAAATCAATCTGTAGAGAAGATGTTTATTTACTAACGCTAGAGAAAAAGCAATTAAAAAATAAGTGTGACCGTCCTCTGTATTTGGCCTGAGAATACAGGAGATTTCAAAATGTTTAAAGTTTAGTTGTCAGAGTGCAACAGTGAATACCTATATTGGTGGAGTGTTTTTATTTGTTCATATTTAGGGACCGTTAAATGCTAAAACATGGAATTATTATTAAAAAGAAACTTCAATGCTTCCTTTGAGATACCTGAGTTTTTACCTAGAATTCATACCAAAAATTCAAATAGAATTATTTTCTGCCAGGTATAGTTCAAGAAAAACTAAAAGGAACCCTCTGATCCAGTGTGGAAATGAAAGAATTTTCTTGTTTTGATTTTGTCTTTCTTAAAATATGTAGAAAACTTAGAAATTAAGAGTGAATGACATTTATATAATTCATTTACACAAAACTTAAAAATCCAACTTCACAAAGACCTTTTGTCCATACTTGGCATTTCACAAGAGGGACAGATTACTGTTCTACATTCACCATATTTCTCACCTCTTGGAGATCCATAATGAAATTCTAAACCGGTGGTTCTTGAAGTGTGATTCCTGAACTGGCAGCATCAGCATCGCCTGGGAATGTGCCAGAATTTCTAATTCTTGGGTTCCTACTCAGATTCACTAAATAAAACTCTCAGGGGAGGCCCTCCAGGTATTTGCAGTGTCCAAGCTCACCTCTGTCCCAGATCTTTGCTCCTCAGTGCTGTTCACAGCATCTGAGAGCAGGTGCAGAAAGTGGACTCAGGCCCCACCCCAGACCTATTGAATCAGAATCTGCACTTCAGCAAGATCCTCCAGGAAACCCCTCTGTACATGAAATTTTGACATGCTCTGTGTAGATGATCCCTTGATTGGAACCTGAAAAAACTAATAGATGAGCAACACGATTAGCCAATTAAAGTGAGCACACAGATAGTCTCAGACAGCAGGTCTGTGGCTGTCAAAGGGTAGGGAAATTTGTCCTGGCTCACCTCGTGACCCCAATTCAAGACTAGCTGTCTTCTATCTTCGGTCCACCCACACAGCAGAACCCACCACCCCACTCTGTGTTATTCTGTACTTGAATAATTGACTCTCTGTGAATTTTGTACCTTATGGTGCCATATGTCAGAGAATATACAATGGTAGACTTTGACATTATTTCTAATCATGTCTAGGCAACAAATTTACCAAATTATGTTTAAAAACCGATTTGAATAACTTGGATAGTTTAAGCAATGCATGCAGTACCCTGAGATCATTTTAACAAATAGGTGTCTTGACATATTCTTTTCTTACTAAGCCAGCTCATCACTACATACCTTTTTAACCTTTTCTTTTTCTGGGTGTAGCTGACTTAGAGTATCACAGGTGTGGCTAGGAAGCTGTCAGAACCAGTTGTATTTTACTGAGTAAACATATTCTTTCATTATTATTTCTTTTAGTTTCAAACTGGAAAATCAAGCAAAAGAAAATGAAAACAAATTTTCAGTTATTTTCATTTTAATAATTTAATATTTATACATGATTAATTAATATTAAATATATAACAAATGGACTTCCCTGGTGACTCAGAGGTAAGGAATCCATCTGCCAATTCAGGCGACACAGGTTCGATCCCTGGATTGGGAAGATCTTTTGAAGAAGGAAATGGCAACCCACTCCAGTATTAGTGCCTGGGAAGTCCCATGGACCAAGGAGCCTGGAGGGATACAGTCCATTGGGTTGCAAAGAGTCAGATATGACTTATCTACTAAACAACAACAAATATGACAAATACTTATTAAAAGTTAAAGGTTAATTTGATATTGATGTTTTAATATTGAATGTATTTAAAGCTAAATATTAGGGACTTCCCTGGTGTCTAGTGGTTAAGACTTCGCTCCCCAATGCAGGGAAGTGTGGGTTTGATTCTTGATCAGGGATCTAAGGCCCCACGTGCCTCACAGCCAAAGCTCCAGAACCTAAACAACAGAAATAACATCGTAACAAATTCAATG